CACACACACACACACACACACACACACACACACACACACAATTTGTATTTTTCTATATAAAAATCTAGGAACCAAAAATGAGAGATGACATATAATACCTATCTTTCTATGCCTAACTTAATTCATTTAATGCTTTTCTCCAGTTGCATCTGTTTCCCTGCAAAACACACAATATTGTGTTGGGGACTGGTCTTGTACTATTTATTCTCTCCTGCCTGAGTCTCCCAAATGGGGATGTTATAGGCATGTGACGCAAAGACCAGAAAAGTCTTACCAGTTAATGATAAAATAATTTTAAGGATTTATTTTATTTTTTGATTGTGTGTGTGTGTGTGTGTGTGTGTGTGTGTGTGTGTGTGTGTGTGTCATATGAGTATAAATGCTTTCAGAGACCAGTGCCATTGAAATCCCTAGAGACATCATTACTAGTAGTTGTAAATTAAATGATATGGGCACTTGGAAGTAAACCCAGATCCTCTGCTCGAGAAGAAATTTCTCTTAGCCACTAAGCCATTTCTCCAAGCCCTAAAATAGAATAATTTTGATTTTAACATCCACTATCCTATCTAATCCTTGCAAACATGCATTACTATTTTTCTCTCTTGTAATGTTTTGCCAGTTCAGTCTTACTCTAGGCTATAATCTTAGTTGAAAAATCCCCGAAAGGACAGCAATATTAGCTTTGATTTTTATTTCTTTTCTCCAATTCAGGGGACACAAAAGTATCTTTCCAGATTAACAATGCTCTAGAGCACAATATAAGGCAAAATAAAAGTGAAATGGAACTGGTGTGGGAGGGGAAAATAAAAGCATTCTCCCAGTCCTCTCCTCAGATTGCCTTTATCTCAATGTCTGCCAGAGATGAAGCTGATTTGGTCCCTGTACCACTGGTCTGGGCAGTGTCCTCACTCAGGGCTCTCTCCAGACTGGAAGGCAGGGAATGAATCAGTCTTTTTCTAAAGTCCTGTCCCACAAAAACATAAAGCATTGGGTTGAGGCAACTGTTGAAGAAGGCCAATGAGCTTGTTGGGTGAACCAATATGTCAAGAATTTTATACCCACCACTAAGAGTCTCTTTGAGCCAGACTGTGCCTAAAAAAGCCACCAGTTGAAAGGGAAACCAACAGATAAAGAAGGAAGCCACAACTGCAGTAAGTACGCGTAAGGGACGGCTGGAATTGACAAGGGCTCTTCTGTGGAGCTTGGCAGCAATGAGTCCATAGCAGATGGCAACGATGGACATGGGCATGCTGAATCCAATAACGAACCTAATGATCCCCCTAGCTGTTAGCATAGTGATAGCTGCGTTCAAACGTTCCATATCTGTGTCACCCCAGGACGCAAAGTTGAATGTGCAGTACACATCCCCTCCTGGAACTCTAACTGTAGTCAAGAAGAGGAAAATGGGCAATGTGAGGATGAGAGCAAGAATCCAGGGTCCAATTACCACCTTCCTAGCCAGGCTCACAGTGCGGTGGTTCTGAGCCCAGACTGGATGAAGGACACAAATACAGCGGTCCAAGGCAATGAGCGCGATCAGGAAGACACTTCCAAATAGGTTTATGTCCACCACAATGTGAACTAATTTACACATGAACCAGCCAAAAGGCCATTTTTCTTTCATGGCCATCGAGGTGACGAGGAATGGTAGAGTAGCCGTGAAAGAGAAGTCAGCCAAAGCCAGGTTCAGATAACAGATCGTTGTGACAGTGTGAGTCATCCGGAATCCAGCTACCCAGATCACAAGCCCATTACCCAGCACCCCGATGAAAAAAGTGATGGAGATGACCACCATTGAGAGGATCCACAAAACTTTGGAGGTGATAGAATCATAGACCACCATTTCTGTTCCATTCAAAGGGATGGAGTAGTTGGCTTCCATTTTCTCTGCACCTGAAAAATTTCAACAACAGCCATTTCTTAGATGTGGCTCCATCTTACATTACACAAATTCAGAATCCATACCACCTGGCACCACAGGAGATCCATTGTACCAGTAATACTATAAAACTAGCTTTCTACAGATGTCTTTCTGAGAGAGCATAGTTCTCCACATTTTCCACATTCCTAAAACTCTTTATGCTTTTCAGACTGATTACAGAAAGAATAATATGCCCCCATCTTCCAGCCGTGATATTGAACTGAGGATGAACAGATAGGAAAAATGGGTGATGGAGTTTAACACTCGGAGTAAAGCAGTAGAAGTAGTCAACAATTCCTTGGTGAAGGCTTTTCCTCAGTTCTCCTGTTCACAAAAGAAATAATTCAGCTGAGAGATGTCAAAAGTTTGTTTAACAAAGTGAAGGTCTGTACACTCCAGAGAGAGGGAGCGAGAGACAGAGAGAGAGAGAGAGAGAGAGAGAGAGAGAGAGAGAGGCAGAAAGGCAGAAAGGCAGAAACAGACAGCAGACAGATAGATTATAGATATCAGAATGGGCTGAAGCAAAGAATGAGCAGCAGCGGCTCATTAGTCTCTGCAGTGTGGATTTCAAAGACTTTTTTCCCCTGAGAGATTCATGAGATGAGTTATATACAAAGGGAAATAAGGTGACCCTTTATTGTTCAAACTTGTGGTAGACCAGATGCCATTTCTGAGTACTGATTACCATAAGAATTTTGAAACTTTATAAAGATGGGAAGTGACAACACAGTCCAGAGAATATCATCGCAAAGCTGAGGTCACATTCATACCAGTGTAATGTTAAGTACAGAAACTGGTGATACTTCTTGGTATCTTGGTTTCTTATATTGTAAAAAGTCCTGAAATGCAGCACAAAGACTGTTTAGACACAAAGGGGCATTCTGGACACAGCTGCCATGACAGCAACAGTTTTCTTCATATCTAAAGTCTTACTTCCATGATCTCAAGTTCAAAAGTGATTCTACCATGGCTTGGCAAATGGTGCCAAGATCTTCGCCTTCCAAACTCATTATCTTCTTTCAACCCCAGGTTAATACAGTTTTCAAATATCTGTTTCTCTTCACTGTGAGAATCCTTGACCTAGTGTTTGACCATTATTTCTGTTCATCTAAGGTATTAGCTTTAGCCCATAATTGAAAAGGAGATTGAATAGTTGCTACCATTGTTTGGTAATTATTCTACTTCAAGATTCCATTACTCACTCTTGTTATGAAGTCTCTCAGTCTTTCATATACACAGAGTATGTATGACTGCATACTTTACTGTTATGTGGAAAACTGGGTGAGACTTAATGAATTTTGGTGGAGTTTGTGTACTTCTTAAAGACTATGCACTATGTGATTATTATGGAATTTAGAATGATCTATATAAGAATTCTAAAAGGTTCATTATTTCTATTTTTGTAAGACGAGAATCATGTTAAGAGAAAATATGATACCTAAAGTCTATACAAAAAGTGATGACAGATTTTAATCTAGCTGGGTCTGACCTCTGAGTTCTTCCTTTGCAATGCCAAATGTGACAGATACCGCTAAATGTGGGCTGCTCTCTGCTGAGCAGCCACAGTTTTGTTCATGGAAGTTATCCCTCAGTCTACTTTTGAGTCTAAATCCTGATCAGTCTAGAGAATATCTTGAATCTTCACTGCTTCATAAGGAATTGTTGGAGCCATGCACAGAGGACACAGGTCTAGATGATAACACAATGGGAGCAAGTCCTCAGCAAGCCTTTGTGATTGCTTCTCTAGTTTCGTCAGAACAAGAATTACTTTTACTGTGTTACCTGACTTCTGGTCAGATCATGTCTGTAGCCAGTTCAACCAAGAAGTCTCTGTGTGCACCCCCACCCAGGTTCAGGAAACTTGGAATATTGTCTTATGCTGTGGTGTGTGGGCTACAAAATCTGCATACAGGTTATCTGTTGAAACATATTTATAGGCCTGAGGACATCGTATCAGTAATAGAGTGCTTGTCTATAACCTACTATGAGGTGATGGGAACATTGCTTAATGGTAGAGCATCTACCTAACTAGAATCCTGCTGTAGCTCAGTGGTAGAGCACTTTTGTAGTATGCAAGAAAACTTAGGTTTAATCCTTAGAAATATAAGAAAATAACAATGTAGAAAGAAACATCTCAATTATTTATGAATCCTGCCTTAAAATGCATTCACACAAAATATAGGGTAATTTTGCACAACCATAAAAGTTTTAGGCTTACCGATCTATCTTTAAAAAGAAACAGTAATACTGAGCACTGCTTTGGTTGGTTGGTTGGTTATTTGGATATATGGTTGGTTGAGGTAGGATCTTGCTATGTAGCCAAACTGACCTTATATGCCTAACCCTTTTGCTTCAACTTTTAGAGTGCTGAAATTACAGATGTGTACTCTAATAGCTCTGTGTAATTTCTGTGCAGAAATTTCCTTCAAATTCAAACATTCCCTTCAGGAGGCAAAAAGGAGCTTCCTGGGTTTCAGAAAGTAAAGAAACTTCACATGTCTTGGAGAGTTGAAACTAACAAAATTTAGAATTGCTTCTCTCCAAGGTTTTATAAATTTTATATTTTATATTTTATAAATATCAGCTGGGAGAGGAGACTCTGACCAGTATTGCTACCTAGAAGAGACTCCCTGACCTACCAAGTTGTCTGTAAATCATGCAGAATGTTTCACAGATACAGCTCTCCTGAATCTCCACCCTTGTTGGGGGTGGGCTTTTGGATGATAGAACTGCATCTGTGTTATCTCTGCTCCTGTAACTCTTACCCATACTCCTGTTAGTAAAACCGATAAAAATTGTTGACACACCAACTTGCACTCTGATGTAATCATTGCTTTGGTCTGCCATGGGTTCTCTGAGATGAGTAGACAAGTGTGTCTTGTTCCCTCAGGAAACTAACACAACACATGCCCAGAAGTTTCTCTCCTTTAACTCTCATAATAATCGTAAGATACAGCTACATTCCTCTTTTATCAGGCCAAAGCCATACTCAACGGACTTTGGTAGGGCTGTTGTTTTGTCTTTATCTTTGTTAACAGCCAGAAGCATTAAAAACCTGATGTAACTAATCCTAGAACTCCCAAATTTGCCTCACTACTATGCTTCATTTAACAGGACCTGCCCCAATAGCTGACTATCCTCACATTTGATGCGATGGTGATTTCCCTCCTTGGTTTCCTATTACACTTCCTTGTTTTCTTTTTGTTGCCTGTCACTTTCACCAAGGCCCTATGCAGGACATTGTGTAATAGGATTCAAGATTTCTCAACTGGCACTGTTGATATCTGCTGCTACTTAATTGTAGCGGAATCCTGTATATCACAGGATGTGTAGCAGCTCCTTGACCTCATCTACTAGACTCCAGGAGCAACTCTCATGCAGCTATGATAACCAAAAGGATCTATAGATGTAAAACATCCTCTAGCAGACAAAACCACCTGCAGTGGAAAACCATTCATACAGTAAAATAGTCCTCGGCTCTCCAAATTTTCTTTCTTTATTTTATTGTGTGTGTGTGTGTGTGTTATCTACATTGGTGTACCTGTATAAATCCATGGGCCTGTTTTTATACATGTGGATACCACAGGTCAATGTCCATTGTCTCTGTCAATCGATCCTCCACCTTATTTTCTGAGACATGGTCTCTTATTAAACCTGAGGCTTACTGACTGGATGGTTTGGTAGCTAGTTAACTTCAGATTTCCTGTTATCTTTAACTACCTAGAACTGTGGCTATCAGTAGGTTTTGTAGTGCCTGTTTGATTTTTTTGTTTGTTTTTTCTGTAGGTACTTGGGATCTGAGCTCAGATCCTCTTATTGTGAGCACTTTACCCACCAAGCCATATACTCAGCTCTGACTAATCTATTTCCTGATTATATCTCTAATGCTGTCAATGTCATTTCTTTAAGCCTTATCCCTCTATTTTGTTTTCCCTCTATTTTGTCTCAATCTATTAACATACACCAGGCCAACCTTGTTCTTCCTAGGCAATTAGGTTGTCTTGGCCCTGGAGACCCTCCCTTCATCATCTGCTGATCTGCAATGGCATTATAGTGGAGAATGATTTTTCAAGTAAGGCTAAAATGAGAATAAACACAGAAACTTTCCAGGTTGGACCAAGTAAGTCTTTAATAAATGTTAACCCTATCTTAACCATGTTCTGTACGGTGTCTTAGGGCTCATCTGTGGCCTATACATTGTAGAAGCTAGTATTCAGAGAAGAACACGTTTCTCTGGCTGAGGAAAGCACCTGACTAGCAAGTACTTGATTCTGGGATTGATCTCCAGCACTGCACAAAACCGAGTATGGTTGTATACATCTTTAATCCCAGCAACATAGAGGTATAAGCCTGAGGATCAAGAGTTCAAGGTTATCCTTGACTATATATTGAGTTCAAGAGCTACATAGAGAAGAGCATGGTTGTGACAACAGTAACTAGTTCAATGGATATTGTCCTCACTTTAACAAGTTCATTAAGAATTTACTTAATTCATGCTAGCTCTCGCAGATTATAGAAGTTAGTAATGTAAAGCGTTATGTATATTGTGAGATTTTGTGAGTATTGAATAACATAATTTATAATAAGAATAACCACTGGAAAATTAAATGAGTTAAGATTCAGGAGAGTAACATTCCTTGTTTAAGCTCCTAGCTAGAAAGAAGTCAGCCCATCGTTAGAGCTCAACCCAGCTCTTAACCCTGTCCCACCCTATGTTCCTCACTGTATTCAGTTTTTTCCCACCTTTCCAAGAATCCTACAAACCACTCCATATGCCCTCCATAACCTTTAAATCCTTGCTTTAAAAAAAAACTTAACACAGCAAGAAGGACTAGCGGAAAGACAAAGGTGCTAAAGGGTGGTTCCATCACACTGTTTCTGCAAGGTGGAGGAGCTGTGAGCTACAGAAGAAAACACGTGCTGGTTAGGATGATCCCTAACATAGCCAATCATTTCATTAT